CATAATTTCATGAAGTAAATAAGTATGAATCAATTTTTTATATTTAAAATTTATGAATCAATTTACAAATTATAAAGTTTTGGATCATTTAATATGAATGTCCACTCTACGTACACACGAAAACAAACAAAAAAAACAGTTGTTTGTCTATAATGCAACTTACGTAATGATTCATACTTATTTAAATCATGGAATTATGTTTAAAATTTATGAATCAATTTAAATATTAATACTTTAAAACCTCACAAAAAGAGACTGTATGAAGGGAAAAATAGATCATATATCATTTTGCTCAATTAAAATTGAGTTTATTTTTCAAATCAAACTATTGTTAATCCGCACTATGCGAGGTACAGTAATGTATAATACTTTTGGTTTAGAATAATCGGAAATTGTGACTCTTTAATGCTATGAATATACATTACAGATCAATAATTCTAATTAATTACGTGTTACAAATCTATGTATCAATTTTAAACGCATTATAAATTAACACTTTTTGATAGTTTTGTTTCTAAATCATCTCAAAGTGTGTCTTTCAATGCATAATTATGCAAACGATGCACCAAAACAAGTGTAAATATCGCCAATGAATTTTCCAGGTTGGAGAAATCGTCGGATCGATCTTGTTTCTTGCTTTTAACCCGTTCTATAAGCCATACCATAACAACACGACGAATTAATTATGCATCGCGGCGGATTTGAAAGTAAGTCGTGGGGGTTTCGGAATTTCTATGGGAAAAATCGCGGATAGGACAGAAATCGCGTGAGAAAAATTGGCGCGCGTCGCATTTCGTAACAAAAACAAGCTAAAAAATGCTATTTAATAACTAAGACAAAGATAATTAAGCATTTAAAGAAGTATTTCGTAAAAAAAACAATTTCTGTTCTTATGCAATACGCACGAAAATCTTCAGGTTTCGAAACGCTCAACGAATTTGTTCGGAACTCTCAAATTTCTCATCCATTATTGGAGCAGGTGTGAATTCTGGCATGTATCTAACAGTACAATGGAATGTTGAGTAAAAAAACTAATATATTTACACATGTTTCAAATAAATTTTATGGAAGAACACTCGTATTAAAATCAAATTATGCAAAAACCCACTAATGTTATAATACAACTCACCGACGATAACAATTATGTTTGTTTCTATTATTGTTAACATCTGACCTTGGCTGTTTGAGTATTATTAAAAAAACGGTAATAATGCTTCGTTGGAAGTAATTACATAGCAATTTAAATAGCATTATTATTACTTATTCATGTCTTAAGACTTAAAACACATGACATGTATTTAAGTAAGTCATATGTATTTAAATATATATATAGAAGAAAAAAAATAAGTCAAAATGTTGATGATTTATTGTTATTTCATAAACTGTCGCAATGATTCATTTAGTTTATTTTAAAATGTTGCAAAGAAAATTAAATTAAAATATATTTTGCAGTTATTATAATGCAAATAATAATAACTATAAATCTATTGATCATATCAAAGATATAATAAGAGAAAGTTCAGTGGTGCATGCATTTATAAAATCAATCATCGACGCCAGTAGCGATGCAGCAGGTAGCATTTAGAATCGTTGTTACTTTGTCTCGAGAATCGAGAAGACTTTTAACGCTCTTCCACTGAAGCACCTGATTAAACCAATCGACTTCTTGCAAATAGGATACAGTTAATATACAAACTACAAGAGAAATTGCAGTTCTAGAAAATCAATTTAACAAACAGGAAAATTTCATTTCTCTGCGAAACACATACTCATCAAATGATTAAGAATGTTATTTTAATTTAGGTTGAAACCTGTAGTATATAATACATATACTAAATAACTAACATCATAATTAAAATACTTGAAGTTCGTTCGCTTATAAAACATTTTAATTAATGAATATTAACAATATTTATGAGTAAAGTTTACTTGTTGTACTCATTTCAAATAAATTAAAGCACGTAACGTTACAGAAAATGTAAATCGTCTGCGAGATTTCGTCAATATAAACATTATCGAGTGTGAAATTCCAAAACAAACCGGTTTCTTATGTCTCCCAAATTGAATGGTAAACATTTATGAATAAAATAAGCGATTTATGTTGGATTTACAAAAACAAAAATAAATAAATTGAATGTTACTACAGACAAGGACTGCACTTCACTACGAAACCTCACCGGTTCGGAATTGCGGCGTTACGCAATTTCCTACGGATTCAGGCCACGGTTAAATTTTGAATAATTACCAACATTTGACGTTAATTGCGACTGCTTTACTAGAAAATTCACTTCTCCGAAGAAGCGATCGGACAGAAATCGCGTGTCTACGAAAACAACATCGCATTCACCTCTGTCGAGATAATAAGAAGAAAAAAAATCAAAACGGTTTGTTTGTTTTCCGAATGAGCAACAAATTGTTCATCTCTGCAACGTCTAAATAATGCAAAAAACAGCGTGCATACATGCAGATCGATGAACAACTACGAAAATATGTACACATGAGTAACAACGCTCACTCGAGAACGAGTTTTATCCTCATGCAGGAGAGTCCTGCAAAAGTAATCATTGAATCATGAATCACAGCACGATATATGAATAACATCCTTTGGGGGCCTCGCAAACACCATAAACTAAATTAAATCTAATTGCACAACGCGCGCACGTATATTCCATCTCGCGCTCTCGATTTTTGCACTTCGAGCTTCTCCTTAATTGAACATGCATCCCTAATTTGATCTAATTAAGGAGGAGAAAGAACAAAAGCAGGAAGCGGCGTTAATACATCAGGTATCATAAAAAAAAGTAATGTTTATACGTGAGCGAGTAATATTATTATTCAACCCTCTTGAAAAATTACGTTGAATGTGGCAAGTTCTGCAGAGCGTGAACGCGAACGTAAGTCATTCACCAATGACTGAATACAGACGCATTACTTATTTCTTTCATCCGCATGAAATGCACATAATTTATAAGTATAATTTCAAAAAAGTAGTTACAGACTTATTATTTTTTTAATTTTCTTTGAAAGAATCCAGGAATGAGGAATTATTTAAGAATAAGACATTGAGAAATGTGAGTAAGAAAAATTGCTGACTATACTAAAAACAAATATTGTGCAACTGTGTGATTCATAGTATGTAACAATAATATTAAGATTTTTCACACACTTTACTGTATAATACACTCTCAAATTGTATAGTTATGCGAGGCTTTACATTAGAATGAAAAATATTCATATCTTCAGGAAAACCTTTTGAATAATACATAATCCCTGAAGAGTAAGGAATATTAAATATATCTCTTCATATTGTTGCCACCTGCCATGCACCCTGCATAAATAATAAACTGCAATGATCAAAGACTTCTCTAACTTATTACTTATATTCTATTGATCATTAAAACAAACTTTATTTTTATTAGTGTGTAAAGTTGCACACTATAATCATTCTAATTGATAATATCATGAACACAAATAGAAATTTCATTAATTAACGTGATTAAAATAAACGTATTCTTACTAATAGCAAACATATTTAAATTATACACGTCTAGTTTTAACCTGTTGACAAAATATAATGTTTTACGCATAAAATACAACTGCCATACTCGTGTCATGAATACTAATTGGGATATATTTAGGAGAGAAACAAATAAGTAAATATTTATGCCGAGTTGCGAGGATCCGGTTTAACGATGACACTTCAACTTGAATGCAAGTTGATTTTGATCAGATTGATTTATTTTGGATCATCTAAGGTCTAAAAATAAGTTTGTTTGACTACATCAATCGTCCCATTAAACTCTGTATCATTTACAGTTGACCATGATCATAAATATAAATGTTGTTATAAAACTAGACATTACTTGAAACATAATTCAACTGGTATAATAACTATTGACCATCGGGTTGAGAACGGAATGCAGCAGAATAGTGCAATTTTTATTAAAATCAGACATATGTCATAGATATTCACATAAATAAAGTGTAATTTTCATGTTGTCTTCTCACAAGATCTTTAAAGAAGTCACGAGTATCTTAATTTCATATTGTATATTGCATTTCGTTACAATAAAGAGAAAATAATGTTTTTAGATTTCACAAATAATTAATCAGCAAGATAAAGTCGTAGATAATAGATAACAATATCATATGGTCATGCTTAGGTTTAAAATAGAAAACAAAGCAAAGTGCGTTTGTTATGACTTTTCTTGTACTAATTTCCCAAGTTGCAGGATATTACGGCACACGAGGAAAAATCGCGCCTGTTAATTACGGAGCTCGCTGATCCGCATCGCGAATACAAACATATATCATTTTTATTCGTTCCCTTCCTCTTTTCCTTGCGTAATGACCGGTAATTGCGATTACTTTAACAAAACAACAAACGAATAAAAAGGAATAATGAGACTCACCATTTCCCTTCGGAGGAGAGCCAATTTGGCATCGAGATTGTTGGCCTTCTTGAGGGATCCGACATCTCCGTTCTTGTGCTGGTAGTTGTAGGCGGGGGCTGTGGTATTCCTCGAAGAGCCGGGTCTGTTGGAGGGTGTCTGGGGGCTGTTCTCGATCAAGTTAAACCCGCTGAGGCTCTTCGGCAGTGGCGGCAGCCCGTGCAAATTCGACATCCTGGAATGAAACCTATTGTGATCATTCTCGATTGTGATCTGGCAACTCGAGAGCCGGATCTCCTGGCCGTTGTTCACTTCCACCCAGTCGGAGTGTTGAATTTTTGGTTCGAGCTCAACGGATGGCTTCCGTTGTCTCTTCGAGATGCGGTCGTGCTTCATATTAGCCAACTCGGAGATCAGCATCTCGTGGTTTCGCTTATCGTCGAACTTCTTTTCCGCGCTTTCGAAGTGCACTTTGCGCTCGTTGTCGATGACGAGCACCGTCTTCTCCGGCTCATCGGCGAAGGTCTGCTGGATGGTGATCTTCTCAGGCAATGTGACGTTCTCGTTGATCACCTGCACAGGGAGTTGTTCCTTCTCGTCCGGAAGGTCCAGCACACTCGCAAACATCTCATCGATCAGCGTGTTCACATGATTCCTGTCATTGATTTCAGACCAGCTGTTGGATTCATCTTCGCCGAGAACCGAGTCTATCGAGCTGACGATATCATTCGTTTTGATGCTGGACGTCCTTGATAATTCCTCGGATTCTCCCAAAGACTCCAAACTGGAATCGCGAGACAAATCCGCCGTCTTCGGATCCTTGAATGTTATGCTCACAGAGTTCTCATAACAGTTATTGGAGAAGGATATCTTGGATACATTCTCCGGAGGTTGCGGTGCTTTGAAGCTGCTCGTCCTGGACACACTATTTTCCTTCTTGAAGGACTCCTTTCGATTTATGTTCACTTTGATCTCCTGTATAGTTCCCACACTTTTAGCATTCGATGATTGGTAAACTAAGGTCCTGGTCGCTGGTCTCGGTGGCTCCTCCACGGATTGTCCTCTCTCAATCTTCACGATCTTGTCGTAATTGTTGATAGCCGAGTAGGATTGTGATTTGACGACTGGTGCCTGATACTTTTCCGGTTTCCTCGACTTGGCCAGAGCCTCGGCGACGATCGTCTTCGAGGGCCGCGGCGGCACCGGAGGCGGCGGTTTGTTGATCTTCGTTTGGGTATTGGACCTCATCATAATCATGCCAAAGTTCACTTAGTCATCACACGACGATGAATCACTGCGAATGCAAAGGAGCCGCCACAAACGCGCCTCGCTTCAACGAAAACCGGCGCACAACTGGCTCAACTGAACGCTCCAACCTCAGCACCTTTCAACAGATGATGACTCCAGCTGTGAACCCAACCCCACTCCGCATCGAAAAGGTGACTTAAGTGTTGATTATCTGTGTTACTCCTATCATCTGCACTCTTATTAATCGCAGCGTATTAAGCGTACGAAGACAACATCTACCGAAGAAGAGTTAAACTTAAAACTTCTATATTATTTGCAGAGTTAAAAATCTTCCGTTCTGGGACGGCTGCCGGACACGTGGTCGAATGCCCTTTTTCGGACGCAAGAAATAAACACAAAGAAGCAGATGCGCCGATTCTACACCCGCCCTCTCTATCTCTCTATTTCTTCGAAAATTATCTCCCGCAGTTTATTTATCTACATCTGAAAATAGAAATTTCTCCTATATGAATCTTAATTACATTTGGATGAGCAACCACAAAAAAATGAAAAACAATCAACTTATAAAAAAAAATTCAGTACACCTATCAAATTGCGTTTTAATTGATATTTAATTACTATCGCACCTACAAAGCGGTGCTACTATTTTCTCTATTTTGCTATATATAATGGAAATGATTTCAATCTATTCTAGTTTAGCGATTTTCTACTTTCGCCGCTCGAACCGAAGAACAAAACAAATGGCGAGAGAGAAAAGGAAACTCAATTTTTCAGTGGCCAATGGCGCGTGCGATCCGCAAATGATTTACATGGGAAAACGTCCTTAAAGCAACATTGAATCGAAGGATGGCTTGTTTTTAATGACGGCGAAATTACCTTCCAATTAATAATCGTATGCAAAAGTTATTTGTTTCATGACGCGATGCGGGTCTCAACCTACATACACACACCATCATCGAGTTCTGTTATCTGCAGATAAAATAAAGTAACTTCTGCCGATCGAAACAGGAAACAATTACCTTTTTTTTTTACACAAGATTGCGTCTTTCTCTTTTGCGTTATGAAATTATGCAAGGAGAAATGCTTCTCGTTTTACTTCTCTTTTTTTTTGTTGATACGCTCCATTCCTTAATGCAACTTAAATTGTTCCATTGCATTGGATAACTAACAAACTATTGTCTCATTGTTATGGGAAACGAGCGCATACACAAATTTCAAAATAATTATCCGTCCACGAAATGTATTTCAAAACAAAGCGGCTGAATCCGAATTGGGAAAAGATTTACAGCTTCCTGTATCATTACCATTTTCAACGGCCCAATTCATTTTCACGTCCGCGTTTCCCCTTTTTTTCGGCTTCTCTCAAAATTAGAAGCGAGTTCTTTCGCCCGATTTACTACAGTGTACGTACAATTTGATAAGTCGTACAAATTGATCCGAATGACAATTATCCATTGTATGCAAAGACGTTGCAATGAATTTATAAATGTTAGTTAAAAAAATCGAACTATACGAGTTTCGCGTGAACAACGTTCCGCACATCGAGAACAATAATTCATCTTATGGGATTCTTTAATTGACACTCGGCTGGGAGCAAAAGGAAGAAGAAGCAGAAGAAGGATCGACGATAAAACAGAAAATTGCATTTCCTTTGAAGCCGTTAAAGCTGTTTCCCAATCGAATTCAATTAAGCCAAGTCGAATTAACCTTTTCCATCCTCGCACACCGTAACCACCGCGCCAAAGAAAAGAGGGAAAACCGCCAACCTTTACTTTCACATTTTACCCGCAACACAAATAAATAAATAAATAAAGCTGTGGAAACTGAAACAGAATTTCATATTTATTAGATGTGCCTGTCCGACTGGATCGCTCGCAGTATTTACGGTTTTTAAAGGCCCATTGTTGGATTTGCGGGCGAGCAAAAGGCGGCACGAGATTGCTATTACCTGTTGTTCTCGGCCCGCTGTTATGTAACGCGCCGTAACATTTCTAGAGCTCCCTTCTCGTGACTGACCTGACATTCTAAGGTTTTCCCCCTTTACCTTATTAAGGCAAGAAGCGAGACCGAGAAGACAACAAACGCAACACCTGACTCCTTCTTTCGCTCGGTCCATCTTGCTCCACAGACCGAGAGCGAAGGAGCACGAAAATATGACGCCTCTCGCTTTAATGTCATGCGGCAAAAATGGGATTCCGTTAATCCTGATCTTTAAATTACTCCACCGTACCTCCACAGGTGCATTCACATTTTAGTTCACTTTCGATCCCATACATATTCCACGTACGCTACACAACAGCTTCTTATCAACAATCTAAGTACCTTTTATGAAATACCAAATGGTTAAATTAGAGTTTGCAATAGTAAAAGAAATAAATAATACCAGTAAGTTACGTCTTTCTACAAGTCAACCAAAGAAAAACCAAAATCGATATAAATATATTTATGTAAATTGTTCATTTAAATATAGTTCAATTAATTATAGTAATCACATAGATAATTATTATACAGGTAAAATAGTTAAGTAATATTTTGAAATAATTATATCCAGTTTTTTTAATTAATTAATGAACAAAATCAAAATTTTAAAAAACTTTTTTTAAAAACGAAAAATTTTATTTATTGTTGGTAATTAATTTAATTATTACTTTTGTATTTAAATATAATATTTTGAATTGCATTTATTTACGTGTCATAAAATTACCGACAAAAAAAAATAATAAAATGAAAAACATGAATCATTTTTGCCTGTAATTATTTATGTAATTACATAATTGTTGCAATATTGTTATTATTATTAATTATATTGTTCATAAGTTCTTATGAAATAAACCATTGTGCAAAACTTAATTAAATGAAAACTAATTATATCATCATAGGTATAAAATAAAATTGCGAATACCAAATGTATTTCTTTACATGAATTTCCCAGAATAACAGAAAATAAAAACATGTAAAATGCATCTGATGCTAATGAATAATTAATGATTACATTAAAATACATAAAAAATGTATATATGCAACGAGTGGAGTTAATGACGTTATGTATAATGTAAACAATGATAAGCATCTAATTTCTTCGTCCAGTTTCTTAATAGATCCTCATAAAATAAGCTGACTGTAGCAAAATAACAACAAAAATACCACCACGAAGAATGTTTGCTTATATTCATTATGTATGTATTTCAACGATCGATTCTGAATTCACCTCGAATTATTGTAAAAGTAACCTTCACTATTCCAAAAAAAAAACATGGAATTTAGATATCATTAAAACAGAATATAAATTTACCACATTTGTTTTTGTTTGTTATAGAACTATTATTGTTAATTGCGCTATTTTCTGAAATAATTATTGATTTCCAGTTTTAACGTGTTACAAATTAAAACGTTTTCTCTGATGTCATAATTTCTAATTGTCGCGTTGCAATAGGAATTGTATTTTTCTAGGAAACAAGCAAATTAGTTGTTTTGTAATTTTGTGCAAAAATAACAAAGTTAGCAATTAGCTGCATGTAATAGAATGTTTCCACAATTTTTCGTTCTATCGATCAATTAACTCGAATTTGGTCAACCATTAACGACACACTTTGCTTAACTTTCGTAAGATCTTTAAACTTAACACTTGATCAAGAGGTTTACGGCATTAACAAAGAGTTAAATAAGTTAAGTTTTGCGATTAGCAATGGATTGAAAAAAGCGGTAGGCGAGAAGAGAAAATTGTAGTCAAAAGAAATGTTCCATGCAAAATTCGCAGATCCGGAGTACGTTGAATTCAATTACTATTAACGAAGCAATTTATCATGCCACTAGAGGAATAATGAATGTTTTCAATTGTTAGTAGAATTTAAAATGTTTTCATTTATAAAACATTACTAGTACAAAATTAATTTAAAGTTTATTAATCATTTTTTTTAAGGTTTAAAATTAAAATAAATTCATTAATAAAATAAATATTTATTATTCGACACATATTTTAAATGAAAAAAAGCCCCCATCATTGGAATTATCAACGAATGTGCGAGATATTATCCACTTTTGGATTCGAATTGTCCTTTTTGACTCCCTAAAGTATCTTATTGGCTGTGAATATATTCCTGTAATTATGTAATCATTAAATTAATCACTAGTTTAAAACTCTAAAATAAGATAATATGTTCATATATTTAATTTATTTACAAAGAATTTATCGCATTTCTCGAAATATTGATGGTAAAATTGTAGATTTCGTAACGTGTCTTTGCAATGCTTGCAATTTCCCTGTAATTTTATTACGCTCACAAAAAACATTTTATGGCATTACTCGAAAACTATTAACAGTATATACCGAATGTTAATTTTAGTTATTCTTGCGGTTTTTATGTAATTTGTCAATACTACAAATGGTTTCTTTAAAAGTAATATCTTATATTTTATGATATTTCTACAAAAAAAATATTAACTGGTCACAACATATCGAATATAAAAGATAATGGAAAAACTGTACAAATTGCTGCGTTCAAGTTAATTATTTTACTGGTAATATTTTAAATTAATGTAATTATAGAATTGCCGTACAAATTAAAAAAATAATTTAAAAAATACATTTTATGTGGTCTTTACTTAACAATTAGTCTACCATATGCGATGAAAATAAGTTCATTGATTTTTTTTTCTTGATGCAAGATCGTCGAGATCCACTTTCGATTACGTAAATCCATTAGAGAAGAGACTCTCTTAGTTTGATGCAATTACCATCGGCGGCGATAAAATTAAAGAAATCACTTTTGAGGAGTACAATAATAAAGTATGTGTTCGCCACTTTCTTCAATTTTAAAACCATGTCAAATTAATAGAAACTCAACAATTGAAGAAACCAAAGAAAATCGCATGACGACTGTTGCTCCCTCTTCCCGACGACAACGAGCGCTACCGTTTTCCCACAGCACAGTTGTCGTTTTTGTATTTATTATGCAACGATTTCCGCAATGACAAATAGAGACATGTTAATTACAATCCATTTCGATCGACAGGCATACATTTAAAAATCTAATCTAACTATTATCAAAGAATAAATATTTTAATCTGGACTTACTTATAATTTTATCATGGTTTAGGCAATTTTAATAACGACGATTTATTATAATTATATGTACAGTATAGATATAGACAATTGTAAGATTCTTTGTGGGAAAATATAAAGAAATAGGCGGAAATACTGCAACCAAAAGTAATAAATATTATTAATAATGAAATGCTAAAATCAAGAGAATTCTTATTAAATTTACCACAAATAACATTATGAATAATATTTTGTATATATAAATTTGACTTTTTCTTCTAAATACAACAAATGCTATTAATGTTTATGCAACTGAAAATATAATAAAAATAAACATTGTTATATTAGCTAGATTCGAAAATAATTATTTCTGTATTTAGACGATTTGTTCTTGGAGAAAGTTTTCACTTGAACAAGTGTAATTTAAATTAAATTATTTGGTAGCATTTAAAACCGACTTTATTGTTTCATATATATATAGTTTAATTAGGTTTCTTTTTCAATTAAAAGCATGAAGTATGCAATGTTTGTTGGTTTTCTTTCACTTTCACAAGTGCTCGGATTCAAATATTACGTCGAAACCATTCTATAAACAACAGCAATAAAAAGGTTGCACTCTCGGAGCAGGTGGTGAAAACAGGAACACCCGAGAATCCGATCGAAAATTTCAGCAATAACCATTAGGAAGCGAACCTCGCGAAAAACCGCAATACTTTCACCCCCTCAGTTCGCAACTGTTTCCTCGTCGCAATAAAATAAACTGGTATACAGATAGAGAAGAGATAGGTTGATTTTTCCTCAACATCGTTTCGTGGAAAAAAAACTGCTTCTTTGTGTTTACATCTGGCTTTTATTTGCGCTATATTTTCTATAAGGTATTTACGAACGGTTGTTTTGTTTACTCTAAAAACTTACTTGCTTTGCTTCGTCTTAATCGTGTGCTTCGTCGTCCGTCTATTTGTTGTTGAATTTCCACTCTTGCCGGCACATTGGACACTGCTGGTTGACTTGCTGAGATTGCAACCACTTAACGATGCAATGCATGTGGAAACAATGTGAACATTGACCCCAAACTAATGGGCAATCATCGCCTGGCAACTTGCAATCGGGGCAGCATCCATCAAAGGGCATACGGCAAATCCCGCAGTTATCGTCGTTTGCCACCCATTTCCATATCGCTACACTGGTCCAATCTACAAAACCAAATCAATATATTCACTCAACCGTAACATAAATAAACTTAGATATAAGCAGAGTACCAAGTATATTTTCAAAGTCTGTATCTCATATAACAAACTTTTAGTGCATTTATTAAGATAACATACACCCAAACTTTAAGACAATTGTTATAAAAAAAATTCAATAAAATATACCCCAAATTTAAGTCGTTATACCTAACTAGAAAGGTGCGTCTTATAGTCCACAATAAGTATAAAAATACATATTTTTGCTTATGTCAATACAGTGAAATTAAGACTAATTGCAAATAATAGAAAACACTTAATTATACAACAATTGTAGCATTTTACGATGTATCAAATAATATTTATTATGGAATGAGCGTCGCCGTATAATAAGATCGAATAGAAACGACTTACAAAGTGGTGCGTCTAAAATAGAACAATTTCTTGATAAAATAAAAATGTATGTAAGTAAACCGAATTCTATCAATGAAAATCCGTTAACCTGCTTTTAGACGAAGCGAGTGATTCATCCATTGTACATTTATATAAAAAACGCCCTGCGTAATTTAGACATTTCGGTTGCAAAAAACAAAGAACGAAAAAAGCTAGCACAACCACAGTATTGGGAATATCAATTCTCCAACGAGCGGAGAATGTAAAGAGTCGAACCAAGTAATATGTGTATGTATATATATAAAAAAAGAGAAGTGTATCCTCTAAGTCTAACACAATCTACTTTTCCTGCGAATGTCCTTGCATGTAATGCAATATCGGACATAAATTGCTTACTAAATACATTCTGAAAACACGCATTGATTCTTTGTTTTTTTTTTAAACTTCTTATAAGTCCGTCACGTTGATCCACTATTTCTTTATTGTTAATATAAATAAATACATTTCCAATTAGCATTGGGAAATGTGAAATGAGTAATAGCAGTTTTTTTGTGTGTATATGTGCATGGATATTATTACATTTCTGCGGTTCAACAATGACACTTTACGTAACTTTTCAATTATAATTGTTTCGTTTGCGTTAATGTCAGTAATTTGTTTGTCCTTTGTAATTAATTTACATTCATTCAGGAAGTGAATTAAATAGGGCAACTCATATAAGGTGAGCAAATTCCTGCTGCATGTTTGTTTTAGAAAATATTTTATATAACATTTAATATATAATTCAAATATTGATTTTTTATGATGATTAAACTTTACTCTATTTTTCTATAAATAATCATAAACTGTTATGACTAATCCATCATTATTATGTTGTCTTGTTGCTATTACTATATTCAGAATTCTAAGAATTGAAATGAGCAAATGTATCAAAGTTCATTAATAATCGAATAATTAGTGTAAGGTTTTTGTATAGATTCATATAAGTTTTACATGATTAATAATATATTTGCAAAAGATAATTACTTCATTAATTACATATAATTCCTTCTAATTAAGTTCTAGAATCTTGTGATTTTAACACAAAACTAAACTGAATTGAATTTGAATAAAAACATTACAAGAAATTAAACACAACGAAAATACTAAACTTATTACCTACTGAAACTCAGTTGAAATAAAATAGCATATACAAATGTAATAACGGTTCAATTCCGATTAGTAAAATTTAACAAAAAAGTTAAATTAAAGTAATTTATAATAATAATTAATTGTGTGTAAATTATACGAAATTAAGTATTTAAAATTTGTAATTAATTCAAATCGAGTATTATAATTATATAAATAACTGCAAAGTTCTGCTAAAAGTGTTATTTAATTCTAAAGAACGGCTATTATATAGACAATTTACATTCTGGAATGTTTATTTGGTTGCCGAGTTAACCTTAATAATCAAAGGAAAAAACTAATTACGCGCTTAAACTTACGCTTAATTAATATTCAAAAATCATAATATTTATATCACATCTATAAAGGATTTACTCATTCATTTTAGCAAAAAATTAAATATTTATTTTATTGAATATTCACTAGCAGTAAATATTATTTCTGCAATTTGCGCAAAACAAAATATTTAAATAAATCATTCAAATACTTTAATATGCATTTATATAACTGTACAAAAATATCTATAAGTGATTATCGATTATTTCGACATGTGCAAAATAATCAACAACGTTTTGTTTTTTTTTGGTACAGATCAAAGCTGGCGTGCCCTTAATATGTATTTGTTTAATCAATAATTATATTATTGTAGGTTATATAAAAATACGTTAATTTAATTGAATTGTTGTTACCTATCGCTTAAAACGTAACACTTAACCAAACTCGACACAGGAAGACTTTCCCCCTGTTACGCAATGTGCATGGAGGGTGAAAAATATCCCAAAGGGATGAAGCTAGTACTTGATGCCACGACCTAATTCTAATAAACTTCAAGTTGCTATTACTCACTTTTAATTGTTACTTTCATCCTACGCACATTTGCACAGATACATCCACTTCTTAAGCAGTTTTTATATCTTGAGAGTTTTTGGTAGAAGAGCAACACACCAAAAAAAAAACAATTCCGCTATGCTGAACACCAACCGTCAAAAGGAGTCAACAAAACATGACGATCTTCCAACGTTACACCAAAGTTACTAAAATTGCATACAGTATATTTTTGAAAATTATAAAACTTTTATTTAAAATTTATTAAACAATAAGAATTGATTTAAATCATTACCTGTTTTTACTTCAAATTAATTTATTTGTTGCTACTGAATTCTGATTGATTTTGTAACATGTTTTTGTCGCTTTGTTTTTCAAGTTCAAATATTTGTTAATAACATATAATTTCTGAGCACACAATGTTGTTGTTTTTAGCATAGATAATTTGGCAAAGAAAAGTACAGGTAATTAAATTCAATAAACGAATAACAAAATCAACTAAAACGTGGTATTTCCACTGATCCTGGAAGTCGTTAAATTTAAATTTGCATTCTTACTAAAATTATTGCTAGAAAACCAACTATTATTTAATTGTGGTGTACGGATAAAAAATATATACTTATTTATTTAATAAATTGTCTTATGGCAACTATATAACACTAATTAATGCAAATAAAAGAAAATTTATGGTTTTGTATAATTTTCTTTTTATATATTTTCCAAATGGTTTCAATAAAAGAACCTTCAAATATCTCCATTATATTTTCATTTTTATTGCGATTGCTACAGTATTTATATAATTTATGTCTTCCGTTTATTTAGTTCATTTGCAATATGAAACATGTAAAATTTAATGGCAATAACAAAGCGAATAACAAATATAACAACTACACCATATGTTATTTATCTGTACTTAAGCTAGTAACCTTCGGCACATTGTTGTTGTTGTTTATTTTATGATGGAATGGAAATATAACATTGATAAAAATTATCAAATTTACTTCAGTGAGTAGATCTTTACATTTTAGTTTATATCTCAATAAATATGGTCGACAATTTTATTGTTGAGCAACTAAATTAAAGCTAAATATTCGCTCATTAAAACATGTGTACTGGTATTGTTGTATCGTTGGTCATTTAGCCGTAATTTACTGTGAAACTTTTTTTAACTTAGAAAAAGCAATGTCTTTACATTTTCACTTATATCTCGAAAAATTTTTGAGACAAATTCATTGTTGAGCAACCAAATTAAAGCTAAATATTTTCTCATTAAAACATGTATACTGGTATTGTTGTATCATTTGTCAATTAGCCGTAATTTACTGTGAAACTTTTTTATTAACTTGGAAAAAGCAATGTCTTTACATTTTTCCATATATCTCGAAAAGTTTGGAAGACAAATTCATTGTTGAGCAACCAAATAAAAGCTAAATACTCTCTCTTTAAAATATGTTTTCTGGTATTGTTGTATCGTTTGTCAATTAGCCGTAATTCACTGTGAAACTTTTTTATTAACTTGGAAAAAGCAATGTCTTTACATTTTTCCTTGTATCTCGAAAAGTTTGGAAGACAAATTCATTGTTGAGCAACTAAATTAAAGCTAAATATTTTCTCATTAAAACATGTGTACTTTTATTATTGTATCGTTTGTAATTTAGCCGTAATTCATTGTGAAACTTCTTTTTAACAAGGAAAAAGCAATGTCTTTACATTTTTCCTTATATCTCGAAATGTTTGGAACCAAATTAAAGCTAAATATTTTCTAATTAGAACATGTATACTGGTATTGTTATATTATTTGTCAATTAGCCGTAATGCACTGTGAAACTTTTTTTAAAATGCAAAAGGCAATGTCTTTACATTTTTCCTTATATCTCAAAAAGTTTTTGAGACAAATTCATTGTTGAGCAACCTAATTAAAGCTAAATACTCTCTCTTTAAAACAAGTATTCTGCTATTAGTATATCATTTGTCAATTAGTTGTAATTTATTGTCAAACTTGAAGAAATTGAAGCTTCGAAAATGCAATATATTTACATTTTTGCTTATATTGCTCAAATATTTCCAATATTTTGCGCTGTTCAAATCAGTTTTTGTTTAACTTTTATCGATTCTAAAGACTCAATTCTAATTTAATTTATTAATTATAATCGTTTACAGTTTAACTAAGTATACTTTAATTATTATGATAAAAGTATCTATTATATGTACTTATATTATTATGTAATTTCGAGTGTTTATCATAGGAAATACTTTGTGTACACTCCTAAGAGTGTTATTTAACTTGAAATTTATTTGCAGAATGGTTGAGTTGGACATAGTGAAAGGAACATGATGAATTATTTGAAATTATTTATATGTAATGGAAGAAAAGTGAAATTCTGCAAACATATAATGTAAAATTGTAAACAAAAATATTCTATTACAATATTTTTTCAACTGCATCGTTTCTCAACCTATTTGCTGCACGTCCAAACAAATTTATTTATAGTTGTACAGCGTCCCAATTGTTTATAATATAAAATTTAACGCTTTGACGTAAGGTGAAAGCTGTCATTTCGCGATCCATTAAAAATGTAACACCCAATATAAGTCGCAATCCATAGGTTAAGAAGCACTGCTTTATTGCATATACATATCAGATTCCTCATGGCGTACAAGGATACTTTTATTGCACGTCGCATCAAATTTATTTGTAGTTGTCCCAATTGTTTATAATATAAAATTTAACGCTTTGACGTAAGATGAAAGCTGTCATTTTGCGATTAATTAAAAATGTAACTCTATATTAGGTCGCAATCCATATGTTGAGAACCACTGCATCCCAACTAAGTTAATATTGTACAGTGTCCCAATTGTTTATAATATAAAAATTTTGACACTTCCACGAAAGGTGACAGCTGTCATTTTACGATCCATTGCAAATTTAATGCAATATTGGGTCGCAATTTATAGGTTGAGAACCACTGCTTTATTACATATACATGTCAGGAAAAGATTCATATATTAAATAAAGTATTTTTTAATTTAGTGCAACCAAATTCAATATATGATGACATATATTTAATCTACAATATCTGAAGCATTCTAATCTATAATTATCATCTGGTTGAATTTTAAAGGTTGCTTACCTGTCAATTAATAAATCAAATTTACCGAAGGATCCCTCTGCAGGTCTCCTTCAACTATTAATACATTCGCCAGGGACGGATTTTCAATATTCATAAACATAATAAATAAAATAATTCAAATCACAACGCCTCAATATTAACAACAATAAAAAATCTTAACTAAAAAAAATAACGATCTCATCACCATAATCTTTAGGCAAGATGCAAAAATATTTCGAAGGTGAATTACGTAAAGATGACAAAACCGATTCAATACAATTGTCTAATTTTATTCCAACAATATCATCATTATCCGATGAAAGCAACGACACATATTATCATTTTGTACAGGAAAAGAATGAATTTGCTTCGACGGAGAAGAACAAAGCGGTTTTCTTTTCCAATAGCCGTTTTCTGTTCTGCCGCTGACGATTCGTTGACCCCAATTGCGGAAAAGCTAGGATTCGTTCGAAGCCGTTGCTTTCATAAGCATAGACAAGTTTTTTTTTACCTACAAGAGAAAAACAGCTCAAACTGTTATAAATTACGGAGACACTAAAATTGCATTAATAATTTATTAATTATAAAATATTAGACCTTGATCGATAGCTTTTTTTTAGATAAACAAAAATGCATATTACGTAATAAATATGTTATTAATATTTAAAATATCGAATTATAAAGATTACTTTATTCAAATTGTTTAAAGCAACTGTTATAATTTTTATTTGGCAATGGATTTAATCTTTACATACAATTAATTTATATGTGTTTAATTAAGTATGAAATATTTTATATGTTAATCATTCGAATTATGTGTCTTTTATGTAAAAGAAAAATGTGAATTAATAAAATTTGAATATTGTGTTCTATGGATTTGTCTAATATCAAGGTTTAATGGTTGATTTATTTAATATAATTTATTTATTTTTTTCTTATAAGAGAATTACATAATGTACATATAATAATACTAAATTAAAACTAGCTAAAAATAAACATTTCAATAGATATAAATAGATTTTTTGTGTTTGTAAATAATTTAAAATTTTATATCCAGTTTCTCTTGGCGAAATCTAGGATTGTGCTCCACAGTTTCGGATAGTACATCTCGGAGATGTCGTCGGTGTTGGACATTTCGTTCTCGTTTATATCGCTCAGCTGTTTGACTTTCTTTTTGTCGGTGAAGATTGGTTTCAGCATGAACATAATGTGGTAGAATTGAAGTTCGGTGGCTGCGAACTCGATCTGCTTCAGGAAAACATCGTAACCGAACGGCGTGGTGTCGACCTTGAGATCTTCCAGCACTCGGATGAAGGTGTCGTAGTAGAGGTCGACGAGCCTCTGGTAGTTCTCGTCGATGATGTGGTTGTTCAAGCTGGAGTAGATGAAGAACAGTAAATCGTGCGCCGGATTACCGTAAACGATCAGCTGGAAGTCGACGATGGCGTTAGCGATCGGCCTGCCATTCTCGAACTTCAGCATCGTGTTGTTGACCCAATAATCGCTGTGGACGATCGTCGCGAATGGCTCCTGGACCGTGATCGTCTGATTGACGAAGTTCTCGGAGTTCCTCTTCATCGCAGCCAAAACGCGCGACTTGTATTTGGCGCATTCGTTGTTCTTTTCAGTGCCTTCGATGATGGACTTCATCATGCTCTGATTCATTTCCTCGCTGATGGTGTCCGCCTCCATGTGCTTACCTAGATACGGCAATACTTTCTTCGCAAAGACGTCCGGTTTGATCATCTTCAAAGCGATGGGAACCGCATGGAACGTTGCCAGATCTTTGATAATGTACTCGGCGCTTTGGATGTCGAAGCCCTGGAGCCTGTCCACAATATCGAATCCCTTGACTTTGATGTTCTCGAGGAGAAGGCAAGCGTCGTCGTCGACTTCGGAGAATCCGTTCAAATTGATCCTCGACCCAAAGTATTTCGGGAAGAAGTCGATCGGTTTCTTGATTCCCCTTTCGATTTGGAATTGCTGCAACGTAGGGATTACCGTGCTATAGAAGCCCACTTCCTTCTTGTACGTAATCGGAATGTTGAACATCTTCTTAATAAACTCCGTTGGTGGACAGAGTTTTGCTACCAAATTCACGGTTTCATCCTCGTTCTCATCTTGATTATCTTTCCTTATCTTAACGTCGACAGCCAACATGATGCTTCCATAATTCTCACCAGCGGCGATCAAATTCCTCGTGGTGTACGAGGATATTTTCTTGGAGCCCAGGCATGGCTTCAGCAGAACATCCAAATCTTTGATCTCTTGCATTTTAGCGTTTCGTGTTAATCAATAGTTTCGTACTGGGGCTCAAAACTTGATCTCTATGCACATAGTTAGTTCACAATTCAGAAACGCGTCCGAATCATTCGAAGCACTTTTGGTAAATGATGTTTCGGAATTTGCAGTGCACGACTACGAGGAGCGCAATAATAATCGCTGGTCGGGGGAAGTGGTGGAAGCTCTAACAAACCATATATCTGCTTATCCACCAAATAGATGCAGGCTGACCTCTCTCTCACTCATTCACTCACCATCTATTCCCTCTATTCTCCGCAGGACGCGGTATATATTTTTTTGTCGCTGCGCCTCTTTTTCACCCGGTCGTCCTTTGCCGGTAAAACTTCCAAAATTTTTGTTTAGATTCCGCTCCCAAAGGCCGACTCTATTTAAGATCAGGGTCAATCGGCGAATCAGCCATGAGATATCTGATATAACTCGGATGTATACATAAAATACAATCGGAACACGATCCAATGTCGCAGTGGAAAAATTTCACGACGCTTCTTCCGCTTCATCCAAATCAAATACATTCAAAAACTCGAATAGCAAGAAGAAAAAGCATTAAAGCAAACTGTTGTAATCCGTGAAATTATGCAATTCTTAAAGAAAACCGCAAATTGTGTTATTGCCGTCGAGCTATTTCGACGTTGTTTTCATATTATTTTTTTTTTGTAATGTTATTTTATGTTTTTTTCGGTGCGTCGTTACACAACGAAAGCGGAACAGCGAATTTCACTGCGAAACGAGAAAAGAAAATGTCATGGAAAATATATCTAATAGTTCTTAAAAATAGTTGTTATTAAACCGTGTTCAGAACGTATACGAATCGACCTTATCGAAATGGTCCATAATATTTAATTACCATTCGGAGGAAAGCCTTGGCCATTATGTAATTGAACTTGAGAGTTTTACGGCGAGAACGAGTCTCACTTGGGGCGAGCGAAATCGATTAGAAAATCATAAATAATTATAACGAGTTTCTTAATATATATATATGTGTGTGCATGTACACGCATTCATTCTGTTTTTTTTTTTTTACTTCTTTACTAGTATTCTTTCTTCTCGCGTTCATTTTCTCTTTTCTCTACTAATTGCGCTGATCCCAAGAAATCGCGATCTTGAAACGGCTCTTGAATGTCGAGACCGTTCGTCGGCAATTAACCTACGCTCTCGATTCAATTAAATACTGAAAGATAGAGAGAAAAAAATAAATAAATATAATACGAAATTTGATATGCGTTAAAAAAGTCATTATCATTTTGACCATGGATTTTGATAATACGAAGAAAAAAAAAGTAGTGTCAATGCCACAATGCAAAATATTAAAGAGTACACCGATCTCTTCGAGATCAATTTACAAAGAAGAAAAAAATCGTTCCGAGAACGCCTTGAAGTCTATTTCCAAAATGAACCGAATTACTTAAAAATCTTGTGTTCTACATTCAAATTATTTGTTATTTCTTCTGTTGATCCATATGGAGTCTCAAGGTTGGGAAATTTGAACTAAATCCAGTTGATTTTAAATAACTTTATTCTTAACTTGCCGATTATTCTTCCTTTAACTTTATAATTAATAATATGTGGTTGTTGTTCGTTTAAATGATGAGCATTCACTTAAGATTCTTACTGAGACTAACTTAAACTACATAATTTACATTTGAACTTATCTATTGTTAATGGAAGTTGTGATTTGGTTGTGCGATTATCATTTTCCGAGTCCGTTCGCTATTCTCAATAAGATTTGTCCACTCTGCTGATAACTTGTATTAATTCATATATACAAAGGTATTGCAAAAAGGTCATGTCTCCTGCCAGCATGTATTTCTAATGGCTGGACAGAACATATTATTGAATCATGTTTTATATGCAATTGAAAACATGCAAATATTTGAATAAAAATAATCTTCGTTCATGAAAATGCATTTGTATTTACGATAACCACAAGAACAAGTTGGATTTGCTCAAAAGAAAACGTACCAAGAACGTCTTGAAGTGTATTTCTAAAATGAACCAAATTACTTAAAGTCTTGTAGCAATGAATCATGTTTCTTATGCAATTGGAATTACGCATAATGGAACGTTATTACAATAACTGCACGAACAAGTTTAATTTGCTCGAAAACAAAAAAAAATTGAAACCTATTTCCAAAATGAACCAAATTACTTAAAGTCTTTTCTATATTCAAATTATCATTGAATCATGCTTCAATTGGAATCACGCAACAATTTGAATGAAAATAATCCTAGTTTATGGAAATTTGTTTAAAATTTATTTGTTTGCAAGAACAGTTTTTATTTGATAAAAAAAAAAGAAACGTTACAAGAACGCCTTAAAGTCTATTTCCAAAATTAACTAAATTACTAAAATTATTATGTATTACTTAAAGCTTATGGAAATTAATTTGTAATTACGATAACTGCAAGAACAAGTTGGATTTGCTCAAAAAAACGTTGAACGCCTTGAAGTCTATTTCTAAAATGAACCAAATTGCTTAAAATGTTGTGTTATTTATTCACATTATTATTGAACCATTTATATGGAAATATATATGGAAATCATTAAAGTATTTGAATAAAAATAATCCTCGTTTAAGGAAATGTATATGCAATAGGATAATAATTGACATCCGTAATCAAGTAATACAATGAATCGTGAAGACATTGCAATGTAAAACAATTTATACTTATTACATATTTGTAATTAAAAATGTGAATGATGAAAATTTATTAATAAATATAACAAAACTATTATGTCTCAAAGCAAATGAAGACAATTTATTTGTGTATGCAAAATGTTCAATGAAATATTTATGAATCGTCTGAAAAAAACTGAAGCAAAAGAAATAAACGTTGCTAACTTTTTCATCGCCTTTCAAAATTCGTTCACCGTGCGTTTCTAAAATTCACGTTCACTATATGTTGTGTTTGTAAATGACAAGTACAAGTTGGATTTGCTTGATAAAAAAAAAACGATTCAAGAACGATTGAAGTCTACTTCCTAAAATGAACCAAATTAGTTATAGTATTGTGTTCTATATTGAAATTATTATGAAATCATGGTTGTTATGCAACAATTTTAATAAAAACAATTCTACTTTATGGTAATTTTTGTATGAATATATAGTGTTATGTTTATTTTGAAGGACATCTGTCAATGTTATGATATTATCATTTTGTCACTTGAAACTAATTGTGCGTAATTTTGTGTAGTTTATAGTCAATTTTAACAGAAATAAAAAACCGAACATATTTTACTTTTATATTTCCATAGAAGCAAGAAAGCTGAGGCTCACAAAGAGATATGTTTAGTGTATGATGTTGATAGTTTAATAGAATGCAAGTGTCAGAATTAGACGAAAAGAAAAACTATTGAAGAAAGTCTTAAAATCTTGTGTTCTATATTGAAATTATTATGGAATCATGTTTAATATGCAATTGGAATCATGCAACTATTTGTATAAATAATTAATCCTAGTTTATGGAAATGTATTTGTAAATACGATAACTGCAAGAACAGGTTGCTTTTACTCGAATCCGATCGTACGGATTGGATTACCAAATGAGCTCTGCAATCATCCGCATGTGCGCAACGATCGTAACTTATATAATCGCTACCCAATATATAGATTGCATCAAGCATCCAAAGAGAAATGTGTTCAGGAGTGCGTAACGGTATCGAAAATTTAGCAAGAAGCTAGAAGTTTTAATGAGCGTTACCCATAAACAAAAAAAAAACATTGATATTATTGTAGGTTTTCGATACTTGCACAAGATCACGTATTTCAGCTTAATATTTTGTTTTTACTTCTTTTTGGAACGGCCTAGATCTGTGTTCTAAGAAAAATGTGTCGAATTCGAATGGGAAAGTTGGTAGGAAGTTTTTTTTTTGTAATGGCGAAAATTGCGCTCAATTATTTAAATTGATGCTGGGAAATGGCCTTCGTGATCAATTTGGTGGAGCGTTTATCTAATTGCGCGAAATTGCAATGCGTCGTCTAATTGATTCAGATTTGGGTAAGCAAGTAGGAAGTTTACGATCAAGCACTTGTACAGTTTCCTTTCAATTTTGATGCATTTACAAAACTATGTTATTCTCTCAATATTGCATGAACGTATTTGAAGTTTAGTTTATTAAAATCTATATCAAAATCTGAAATAATTAAAGTGATTGATCTATAAGATATTAATGTAGATATTTAGAGAGAAACAAATGTATGAAAATTAGCCTTACAAAATAAAAGGCAATACGTGCAATGTGACTTAAGTTTAGCGATTCGTTACATTCAACAAACTAAAAAAAAGTAATCTATTCATTTGCAAATTCCTCAGAAACAGAACAAGTTTATTGACTTTTTGTGAAAATTGTAGGTATTAATTTAGTTATTGGCCATGAAGATATTTTTCTTCTTCTATTATTAACTTTAATTTTAAACACGCATATTTTATCTGATTGTTATTCTAATTAAATTGAAATTGTTTAAAAACTTAATATTTTACATATTTAATACGAACTAATTTGGATTTTACAACTTTTCAAATAAATGTGGAAGGTGTACCAACATTGATTGAATACGATAATCAAAATTAGTAGCATTGATATTTATCATATTAAATGACAGCAGTAGCAGTTAAAACATTTGCGTTTGAATGTGTACCAACTCAAATGATATATGTCATTCATATTTTGATCATTGAGGTTTGTATTTGCAAATATCCAATGTTTGTAAATACAAATTTCCAACTATCACCTTACATAATGTTTGTTTACATAATTTATGAATTTCATAACAAAATTGTTACAACAAAAATTATTTAATTTAATTCACAACAATCTCATTTTTATGAATCAAATTTATATTGGTCTTATAGTTTCGTTTTATTATTAACACTTTGTTGAATACAAAAGAATACATGTTTAGGGAGTTGTTTTTAATCAGATTTATATATTTGTGTGCCTATTTAAATTGAGAAAAAATGTGTATACAAATGAAGTACAAATTAACTTTGGTCAATACCCTGCATAATAATGGAAAACTCGTGTTGTAGGTGAAACATGAGTTAAATTTTCTAATTAAGCAAATCGTTATGCTGAGTTAGAAATTGTATGAAGTGTTAAGTTATAACTTAACATAAAT